TATCATAGACATATAAGAAATAGACTGCGCGTCCCGTATCTTTTCTGTGCAGAAAGAATGGTCAAACTTCGGACGAGGATAGATGCTTTCACCCGAGTCTCTATCCTTGTTTAGTGACGCGGTGATTGGCGGACAAGAAAAGTAGTAGGAATGAGAAATAGCGTAGTGGGGCAATAGAGGAGCATCGAGCGATGAAGGGGCGACAGTAGGCAATTGACAGCATAGACATTCTATGGAGTTGTCTTCCGAGTGGGGAGTCCCCACTCCAGGTGCTGAAAGACAGAGACAGAGACTCGGGTGAAAGCATCTGTCTCACTCCGAAGTTTGACTCACTTCCCCTCTCACACGCGCAGTCTATTTCTTATACGTCTATGGCTAGTATACAACTCCGTGATCAAGCCTTGAATCCACGGTTTTAATTCAAACTTCAGTGAAGACTTAGAATGGCGTATGGACTAGCAATAAGGGTCCACTGAGCCATAAGGCTGGATCCTCATACAGACACCGGCGCTTTGACACCGAGCGTTGATTGGTAAAAAGCGGGTAGTGGGAGTAAACGGCGCTAAAACACCGGAGCTGTTATGAGGATTGACAGCTTTCATTAGCTTTGCTCAACAGTTGAAACAGCGCTTGAGCGCTGGTGCTAAAGGCCAGTGTCTGCATGAGGATCCAGGTTTAGCCTACCCGCTTTTCACCAATCAACGCTCGGTGTCAAAGCGCCGATGTCTGTATGAGGAGCCTAAGGGCACCAACCAACCAGCGCTCTTGTAACTCACGCAGTTTGCGAAGCAACTGCACCTGCTCCTCGTTCACCGTCGGTAGCACTGCGACCTGCGTCTGCGTCTTATGTAGATAGACCTTTATGATGGCCTAAAAAGAGCGTGTTGGAGCGATAGAAGCATATTGGGGCATGCGACCAGACTTGCAAACTCGAGCCGGCTAGCACCGAGAGCACCGAGGTAATGGGAGCCACTGGGAACACGCACACAAGCGAGAACCGCCGTCCGTGTGCGTGACGCTCAGCACGTCGGCTCGTCACGCACACGGACGGTTCTCGCTTGTGTGCGTGTTCCCAGTGGCTCCCACCACCTCGGTGCTCTCGGTGCTAGCCGGCTCGAGTTTGCAAGTCTGCATGCGACGCGAACAAACCTATAGAAACACAAACTAGAATGGTATATATCTACTGAGTTGTAACCTGTTCTGGTTACATTCTCAATCTTATTGAGAGATTGAGATAAAAGTTACCGTTGGTTTAATTCATTTTATTGTTATAAATACACATACACACACATATATATATACATATAATATATATTAGTTTGTATAAATAGGAGTATAATGGTGAAATACTATGAGAACACGACAATTTTTAAATTTGATTGGACTCAAGTTGTTCGAGGATTTTTTCAGAGATATCCAAATCCACACAGGTAAGTAGATTTATATTACATCACATATAATATTTATGAAACACAAATTTTATATAATATATTAAATAAGTTAATGAGACATTTGTGTTTCTATGTGTCATTGTACAATTCTATCAACAGTTCACATGTACTTACTGAAGATACAATTTCAAGAGAAATTAGAGATGGAAAGCTTTATTCAAAAAGGCTGTTGACAAAAACTAACAGAGTACCTAAATGGGGTGAAAGATTTGTTAGCAAAAATGTTGTCAAAATTATAGAAGAGAGTATTGTTGATCTAAAAGCAAAAACTTTAACAACATATACAAGAAATTTGGGATATACCAAAGTTATGGTAAGTTAAAGCAAATTAATACTGAAACAAAAACATTTAGTTTTATAAAAACTGTTTTCTCTGTTATTTGTTTTTCCAACTCACAGTATTTAGTTTTTATCTCACTATTTAGTTAGAAATTTTATGTCTTAGAATTTTCTTTAATAAGGATTTGTAAAAGAGTAACACATTTGTGACATAGATCTACATCATTTCAAAAGTTGCAGCTAAGGACCTGCAACATAGTCCTATGTCATTTTAACATCTATGTTTATTATTTCTTGAAACATATAACCCCGATAGAAAAACATTTATGAAATTATATGACAAAATCTTGCATGAAAATTGTGTTTTGCAATTATGTAGATATATTTTGAGAAATAGATGTAAAAATATTGATCTTTTATTAAATATTTGTAACTTTGTAAAATTAATTTTCAAATATTATTTCGGCAAACTATTAACGATGGCAAATCATCTGAGCAGTATATTTACAAACTTAAATTTAAAAAGAAGTTGTTCAATAATTGAGAAAAAACTTTCAGCTATGTGATGTAGAAATATAATTGCATATGAAGAAATCAAATTAATTCATGTATATACTTATAGAAATGCATAACAACTCTTCTAATTTTTGACAAATATTATTATTTACACAATTTTGTTTTGACAAAACTGTTGTGTTATGGCGAATCATCTTAGTGCAATCATTGCAAAATCGTCGTCATTTATGATGCCATTTTTGTGCAATATTTTCACAATTTGCCTGGGGTAAGTGTAATATGATGAAGCAAGATTTACACCAATTTAAATAGCAGAACTTTGTAATCTTCAAGTCTATCCTATGAAAACTTTTGTCACAATAATGTTATAACTTCTTAAAGCCTTTTGCATAATGTGAGGGAATAGTGATAGCGATAAGCAATAGACACAGAATTCTAACTTGTCAGAAATTTTATTGCTATTGATTATTCCGTTTTCTGATCTGCATTGATACATGTGTATTTTTGTATGTTACATTCTGCTGTTTCTGCCGTTATTTATAAATATAAATTCTTTAAAACTGGTGTTATTTCTATCGCTATCGCTATTCCTTCCATTGTGCAAGAGGCTTAACATTTTCTATGTGTCGCTATTACATCACTTGCAAGGTTATAATAGAGCACATGGAAAGTTAAATGTCCACTTCAGAGAGAGAGAGAGAGAAAGAGAGAGAGAGAGAGAGAGAGAGAGAGAGAGAGAGAAAGGAGTTCCTCAGTTGTGATGTCTTATAGATGTATGATAAGTATCAAAGATTTACGTAACACTATGAAATGATGTTACTACATTTCTCTGTCACAGATATATAATGTACACCCAGACATAGCACATCAAGCTTTAATTTAGCGGTCAGAAAATAAACAAACTATTAAACAGAATTTTTTTATACGTAAATTTATCTTTAATGGAAATTAAATTATAATTTTAAAATTACGTAAAACTATTTTTTTAAAATAAAAAACTTTTCTGCTTTAACTGAAATCAAACCTCATAACTCGAAATTTTCGCTTCGCTAAACTTAGATCAGACTTGAAGATTAATAAATCATTAATTACCCATTGAATATTGTTACAATTATAACGTTCATATAAACTAAGTATACTAGTGCGGATGCAAATTCATATGATTACACTCATTAGAACTACTTACCTAAGATCCTTAAGTACTAATTTTAGAGCTGCACAAATGAACGCATAGGCCCGCTTGACAATCGCTATATGTTAAATTTAATATATGTTAAATTTACCATAAAATTGATAGTTGTACTCTTTGCTTTCGCTGTGACATAAATTACAAATTGCATTTGTGTCTACAATAAATTGCATAAATAAGTATTGACTCTGCACATAGTGGAGAATGTTTTTATACACAAAAAGGAATATGCATATGAAATTGTAGATATTACATGTACTGAAAAATATTAAATTTATATTGACATCTTAATTTATATAAGATATTTGAATTAGAAACAGGCCGTATAAATAACAATTAATCAAAATAGACCCGCACAGCCTTAAACCACTGATCAAAGGTAGTAAATAAAATA